TGTCAGGGTGTCCTTTATCGGTACCTTAGTGAACAGGGATACTACATCAAGGCTGATCAATCTGTCCCCCAGGTTGAGTTTTAGGGTGCTGATCTTACTTATGAAATGTCCTGAGTCTTTGATGTAGGATGAGGTTTGTCCAATGTGGGTCTGTAGGAGGGTTGCTAGGTGTTTGGCTAATTCATATGTTGGGGAGCTGATGGCACTTACAATGGGCCTGAGTGGGATTGAGTCCTTGTGGATTTTGGGGAGTCCGTATAATCTTGGTGGGAGAGCTTCTGTCTTGCAAATTCGTTGGAGGATGTTGGGGTGCAGGGAGGAACTCCTGATCAGCATGTTTGTTTGTTTTGTGATTCTGTTGGTTGGGTCCCGTTTCAGTTTTCTGTAGGTGGTGGGGTCTAGAAGTTCTCTGATTTTGTCCTTGTATTTTTCTGTTTCCATGATTACTGTGGCGTTGCCTTTGTCTGCTGGCAGGATGATGATGTCCGGGTCTGAGTTCAGGGACTTGATGGCATTTATCTCCTTTCTTGTTATGTTGCTTTTGGGGGGTTTTGCTTTCCGTAAGATCCTAGTCACTTCCCCTCTTGTTTCCTCTGCTTTTTCTTCTGGAAGATGATATAATGCTGATTCCACTGGCGAAATGTTAGGAAGAACAACCTTCAGAACCAAAAGAGCCCAAAAAATTCAGAACAACCATTAGATCCCGGCCATGAAAGCCTTCACGAATATAAAGATACCTGTGATTGCAACAGTTCATAAAACATACCTTTTCAACAGGACTGAAGCCTCTTCTTCAAGTGATGGCTGGCATACCTGGTAGCAAAGCTGAATGTGTAGAAATGCTGAAGAAAGGCTGTTTACTTGGGATTGCACCTGGTGGAGCAAGAGAAGCATTCTTCAGTGATGAAAACTACAATCTCCTCTGGGGTAAACGCAAAGGTTTTGCTCAACTAGCCTTGGAAGCCAAAGTGGTGAGTGGTCACTCTGTCCTATTTTTCTTTTCCCTATAAGTCTATGCAAGACATCATGCCATGCACGTGCATACAAATGCACTTAGGTTACGCATACACTGTGAAATACCTCACTGTCTGTGTCAGAGTTGATATGGTTGAAATTGGTTTATTTCCCAGCATTGATATGGTTGAAATTGGTTTATTTCCCATCAACTACCATTCACAAAGTGACACAACGCAAGCAAATATCCCAGAAGCTGATTCCATTTTTTTCATCAGTTAACCATTTCTCAGCCAATCACGAAGCAATGGTCAGGGTTGTGTTTCAACAAGTGTGAATGGTAGTGAGCAGAAGATGGTATCTTGTAGTACATCTTGGTTGTTGCCATTGGTGCTGTCAACATTCAGGCTGCGCTTTGCTATGTAAAGCATGGCATCCTTTTTCCCGCTGGCAATGTGAGCACAATATTGTGCAGCAATATTGGGTCATTTCCTGGATTTTTAAATTATGGGTACAAAAGCACAACATCCCACATTCATAAATTAAATGTTTTTGATGGTGACCATCTCAAGTGGAAATATCTTTAAATGATTCCATTCCATTTAACATACCTATATTTATGGTGTTACAGTAATCCAACAGGGATGTAACTAAGGCTTGTGTTACCATGGCTAGATCTAAATTCTCCAGGAATGGGTGCAGGTAGCACCGGTACAAAAGCACAACATCCCACATTCATAAATTAAATGTTTTTGATGGTGACCATCTCAAGTGGAAATATCTTTAAATGATTCCATTCCATTTAACATACCTATATTTATGGTGTTACAGTAATCCAACAGGGATGTAACTAAGGCTTGTGTTACCATGGCTAGATCTAAATTCTCCAGGAATGGGTGCAGGTAGCACCTTTAATTTATAACTAAGGCTTGTGTTACCATGGCTAGATGTAAATTCTCCAGGAATGGGTGCAGGTGGCACATTAGTTTTAATTGTGCAAAGGCACTCCCGGCCACTACCAAGACCTGGAGATCCAGGCTCAGAAACGAGTCCAGGAGCATCCCCAAGCAGTGCACCTGAATTTTCAGAGGCTGCATCCCTGTACCTTGCTCAGCCTTTTGACTGATAAGTAACATCTTTGTCTAGTCTGGATTAAATTTCAGCCATATCAAATCCATCACTGACATCAGAAACTGATTTAGAATCAAAGCACCTTCTTCAGATTTAGATGGCAAGAAAAGAGCTGAGCATCATTCACATACTGATGACACTGAACTCCAAAACGTCAGACAACTTCTCTCAACAGTTTCACATAGATATTAAATATTATAGGAGAGAAAAGAGAACCCTGAGAGACCACATGGACCAGCGGTCAGCTTGGTGAATAGGACCACCTGCTGACTTCTCTTCAAGCCCCATCCAAGAGAAATGGGCCTGAAGGATACCATGATCAATGGTACTGCAAGCCACTGCAATGTCCAACAGAACAAACAGGAACATACTCATCCTGGTACTGCAAGCCACTGCAATGTCCAACAGAACAAACAGGAACATACTCATCCTGTCCAGTTCCAAGCATAGGTCATCGTTAAGGAGACCAAAGCAGTCTTTGTTTCAAAACCAGGCTTGAATCCAGACTGACATGGAACTAGATCATCAGTCTCACCCAGGAACCCCTGAAATTAAGCTGCAGCCCACTCCAGCACTTTTCCCAATAATGGAATATTAGACACTGGGAAGTAATTGTCCAGTATCGTGGGATCCAAGGAGAGCTTTTTCAACAATGGTCTTACTATTGCCTTCTTTAAGCACATTGGGACCCTGCCTTGCTGCAAGGAGGCATTCACCACTCCTCCTATCCACTTGAGCAGTCCCTTTCTGGCACCTTTTAAAAGCCAGGGAATGCAAGAGTCCAGCAGACATGTGGTAGTATTCACTTCTCCATGGGTCCTGCCCACATCATCAGGCCGCAAAAACTGAAAATCATCTATTAACGCAGGCTAAGCAGGGTCCATAGTTACATTCACAGGACCTGTATCAACTGCAGCATGTGTTTGTCTTGATATATGATGCATTGTTTAAACTAGAGTCCTTTAATTTGATGTTCACTTTCCAAATACTTGATGGAAGAGCTATTTGTGACAATTGAAATATTCAACAGCTCTGTCTCTCTCTGTGTCTTTCTTTTTAGCCCATTATCCCCATGTTTACAAAAAATATTAAAGAGGTATGCAGAGGATATGGAAGAACACGTAAGCATTTTTTTTCTTGCACTGTCACTCTTTCATGGTTAGTGAAATGAGCCAGTTTTGCATGTAGGAGCAAATCCACAGTGAGGAGAAGCAGGAATTCCTCAGTCTGCATCACTGGTATTCTCCTGTAACTAATGAAGTTGTGGCCTTTTTTTTTCTCTGTTAATAAACTGTTTAAACAGTCAGTTTGTGATTCTGTTTAATGGCGGATGAGGGCAGCACGCCTGGCTGGCCAGCCTGCATCTACAATTCTCACGAGTTGGCAGTTTATCCTTTCATGGAAAGCATGTGTATAGAGATACTCCGTATTGCCTCTTTGTTGAATTCACCATTGATCTGTGATAGCTGCTAAGCATGAAAAGTGACTGAGGGCCGAAATCTGCCCCGGATTTTGCTTATGTCAGAAGCTCTCCTTAAAATCCATTATTAGTCAAAATGCCTTGCTGGTCACCTACAGTATCTGTGTGGGGGGAACTAGTAGGAAGCAGATTCTCTTTCCATAAAGGTTTTGTTTTCCTGGTTTTATCTCTCCAAATATAATAAATGTTCTGTTTAATCGAAAGAATGGAAAAAACAGCAGAAAGCTGCAGTGTTGGTGAATAAATATCAGCAAGTCAACAAGATACAGCTGCTGTGTTTCTCAATGGATATGTATGGTATTTCCAAAGAGGGGTGTGTTCTCTCTCCCATTGAGTCTTGAGAGTTGTGAAACTGAACAATTTACCCAATCAAAAAGATATGCAATTTGTAATTATGTGTAGGATATGTAATCCCATTACTAGCACTCATTGCCTTCACTGGATTGTTGCAATCATGAACATTCATATCCACAATTTTTTTCAGTTTGTATTAGGTAGCATTATCTAAAATAGAAATACTATTTCATTTTCTATATAGGTCTGTCAAGATGGTTATATGAGAAAACTCGATTTATAAGTACTCCGATGTATGGATATTTTCCTGTTAAATTATGCACATATCTTGGAGAACCCATCCCATATGATCCGAATACTACTGCTGAGGAACTAGCTGAAAAAGTAAGTTTTTTTTTTCTCATGAAAATATAAACTGCATTCAATCTCCCCGTTTCTTTCAAATTAAGAAGGAATTTAATTCTTATTTTATAAATACTTATAACTTCTTATAATAAATATATGAAAAAATAGGCATTAATAAGATTAAACAGCTCTAGAAGAAATGAGAAAGATGTTTGCTTTTTTTTTCATTGTTTTAATTCTTTAACTGCAAAGGTAGGTAGGATTAGTAGATGAAAAGAGGACAGAGTTCTGATGCCTTTCATAGATTTGTGGAGGCAGAAAGTGAAATAGGTACAGGTTCCATTAAATTCTGCCTCTACCAAAATAACCTCTTTCAAGCAACCATTATAAAAGTGCAGGAACTCTCTGGTTTTGTGGTGGGGGAGCATCTAGGAGGATGAGACTGGGAGCTTTAGCTTTACTGTTATTTAACTGCAAAGGTAGGTAGGATTAGTAGATGAAAAGAGGACAGAGTTCTGATGCCTTTCATAGATTTGTGGAGGCAGAAAGTGAAATAGGTACAGGTTCCATTAAATTCTGCCTCTACCAAAATAACCTCTTTCAAGCAACCATTATAAAAGTGCAGGAACTCTCTGGTTTTGTGGTGGGGGAGCATCTAGGAGGATGAGACTGGGAGCTTTAGCTCTCAATAGTAGCAGGAAATACCAGGCAGCAGGAAAGGCTCTGAAGAGAGACAGGAAGTGGCTAGATCTCAATAGTAGCAGGAAATACCAGGCAGCGGGAAAGGCTCTGAAGAGAGACAGGAAGTGACTAGAGGAAGTAGGTGCTAGTCGACTCTAGTGCTGGAATTAAAACAGCTGAAAATGTAATCCTAAAGAGAATCTACCTTGCAGCTAGTTTCTGGTAGAGCTATGCATCAAAGTCAGACAAATCCTGAACTGTTGGCTTTTGGCTGAGTAGGCATGGGCCCATTAAAAACACAACAGTACAATAATCACACCGAGCGTGCCTTTTGGAAGAAAGGACATAACTTTATTAGTTACAGCAGCAGTTTTTCTGGTCCAATATTAGGAATGGAAACATTGTTATCTGATGCGGCCCAGACTCACCCAGACTCTGCCTCTAGCGGCCCCCAGATAACTTGAGCTTAAAACCCCTGGGCTAGAGGAAGTAGATGCTAGTCGACTCTAGTGCTGGAATTAAAACAGCTGAAAATGTAATCCTAAAGAGAATCTACCTTGCAGCTAGTTTCTGGTAGAGCTATGCATCAAAGTCAGACAAATCCTGAACTGTTGGCTTTTGGCTGAGTAGGCATGGGCCCATTAAAAACACAACAGTACAATAATCACATTGAGCCTGCCTTTTGGAGGAAAGGACATAACTTTATCAGTTCCAGCAGCAGTTTTTCTGGTCCAACATTAGGAATGGATCCATTGTATCAAGAGACCCACCTGCCACCCATCAGCATTTTGCTGAGGTATACCACCAGAAGAGACAACCCTTTGGAGACCACAGGAGTGTGTGCCACTGTTCAGTTCCCTGCCACCTAGGGACAGAGCAGGACCTTTGGTTCCCAAGCTGGGCCAGACTGATGCCCCAATCCCCAGCCCATTTTAAGTTGATTTATTCATACCCAGAAAGGACAGATCCCTGCCTGCCACCCCAACGCCATCTGAATCCACCCCAGTACCCGAACTGCCACAAAAGCTGGGCATAGATCAAACCCAATCTGACAGATTTGGTTCTGGAGTGGAGTGAAGTGACTTTACATCTCTGGTTATGTCCAAACATCAAACAAGTCAGATGGGGCACAAAGGTTTCCAGTCTTTTCTTTTTCCAAAGCAAACTACAGAAGTCTTTAGAGGTGACTACAATATGTGAAATTTGGCAGGTTTAGTGCCCATTTTAATGCCTATGTCTCCAAATTATATGAATATCTGTGGAAAAACAAAGTTGTTTGTTTTCCACTATTATCAATTATTTGTATAAGAAATAATACAAAAACCAATAAGAAATATAGGTAACTGAATATCTAATTTAAACTATTAAATACATTATTTTGGAAATAAGTAAATATCGCCTCAATTCATTATTTGTCTAGTTTAGAATGTACTGAATGTATAAATGACATCTGCTTTACTCTTGATTTACTAATTTCCCATTGATTCAGCGGGTATGTGTTTCTTAGGGTAAGAACTAGCTTTAAGGCTGCCTTCCTCCCTCCCTTCCTGTCCCATATTTGAGTACAGCTAACTAAGGCATGTATGGGATGATATAATTGTGACCCAGTATTGAGGAAAGTCCACAATCATCATTTGTATTCTGTTCCACCCAGAAATTATTGATGATAATTAAGGAAATCAAATATAATCAGTCCTTATACACAATGATTGGCTGTTTTATGGTTTTGTGTTAGATTGCTGTCCATTTTGGGTTTTTCCGTTTTTTAAAAAAATTAATAATCTCAGAACTGCATAGCTGGAAGAGACCCTATGGATCATTGAGTCCTGCCCGTGATTGAGGCACAGTGGGGAATTGAACTCCCAACCTCTGCAAACCAGAGACCTAAACCACTGGGCTATAAAGAATTCTAACATGTGCTTTCCTTTTTGTTTGTTTGTTTTAACAGACAAAGGTTGCAATTGAAAATCTTCGTGATCAATACCAAAAAGTACCAGGAAATATATTAAGAGCTGTATCAGAACGATTTGGTAAACATAATAAAGATTAGTCTTTTTATGCCTTATTAACTAATCTTATATAATCTCCATAGGTCTAATTAAATTGTTCATAACTTCATAAGTAATGCATGCTTAAAACATTGAATAATGTGCCCTTCTAATATATTTGGAGTTTATAAAAATTTACACCAAATAATCATTCATGATTAGAGATGGGGGTATTTGTATTCGCATACAAATATGAATATCACCGCACTGGTGGACATAATGAGGATCCAGCCCCCAGGGCTGGACCGTCCACTCACCCATCCACTGCTGCCACTGGCACTGCTGTCCCTTCTAATCACTCTGGAGCTTGCAGTCAACTAGCCACTCATCAACCTGGCAGGGAGGCTCGTCTTCCCTCCTTCTGCCAGGAGTGGCATCTCAACCATGAGCTCCAGAGTGATTGGAAGGGGGCACGGAGCCGGCAGCAGTAGTGTACGGGTGAGTGGATGGTCTAGTCCCAGAGGACCAGACCCTCATTATGTCCACCTGTGCAGAGGTATTCATATTCGTATACAAATACCCCCACCTCTACTCTTGATTTTCTTGACAATATTGTCTGTCAAAAATTGAGAACTATAATAAAATGATGACCAGCTTTCCTTATGTCATGCATGAGATACCTCAAAGGAAGCAAAGTGTAATTGTTTCATAATCATCATGATGATAATCATAATCATAATAATCTTAGACCTGCAGAGCTAGAAGGGACGACTATAGATCATCAAGCCCAGACAATGTCAGGGAAGCACAGTGGGGAATCAAACTCTCAATGCCTAACTACTGAACTATCCAGCAATTTCTCTTATGATCAGAATCAGGGTGTGTTTTGTTTCTAATTAGACCAAAGACAGCAGAGGACCAAATATGCAATTGGACACAATATGTTTTCCAAACACCTCAGTGTCAGTACTGAGAAGGAGGTTTGATGCCTAGTAATATAGCTCTTGTTACTGAAACTGAAACTTGATCTTCTTCCTTGTAATTAACAGTGTACACCACTTTTAGCTGCTCACATCACATAAAAATCCAGATTCCAAAAAGCAATTGTTTCACCTTTGACTCTTTGCAATAAAACTTGAAATTCTTTGAAAATCCTAAGATTGTGTAGTCCGGTTCCGGTTTGAGGGAGGAACAGCGTTGATATCAAGCTCTGCTCCCTTTTTAATCTTTAATCCTTATTTTTAATACCTACAAAGTATTCAACTGCTCAAGTTGTTTTATTAAAGAACTTTGCTTACCGGTGGTGCCTGGAGCCAAAGAGAGCAAGAAGCGTTGAGTCTCCCGGGGGAGTTTATCAGCAACACAATGTTTGGAAAGGACCGAGACTCTTTCAAGGAAAACTCAAGGCCGGGCAGGATGAGACTCTTTCAAGGAAAATTCAAGGCCGGGCAGGAACTACGCTGAAATACTGTAAGTTGTTTAAAAAGACTTTGAAGTCAAATATTGGGAGTTGCCTGAGCTATCTGATAAGGAGACACCACCGAAGGCAAGGTAATAAAGAAATAAAGAAACCACACTAGGACTTGTGCTAGGTTTCGCAGACGGCTCTAACTTTTCTGGCTGCAGCTGAGATTCAACAGCACGTACAATCACTATCAATGGTTGTTACTAGAGCCCAGAAAGCTCGTGCTGGAAGTAACAATGCTCCCAGAAGCAAAAGTCAAAGAGCTATACTAGACTTCTGTGTGCCTTTAACCTCCATTAATCAACAGGACTTTTCCAGTTCCACTGGGCAAAGGTTTTCAAGGGAATATGTCTCAAGTACCCCATCTATCTCAAACAATCAAAATTTGAACATGACCACCAGAGATTCCCAAAGAAATGAGGTGGCTGAAGACCCTTTTGGTTATTTGATTGGTAATTGGTCAGTGGACCCAGGATTGCAGGAAAGGTCATCAATTTTATCAACAGACCTGCCTGAGAAAAATCCAAATTTATCAGACAC